TTGATTTTTTCCCCTCTAACAGCCACTTAAGTCTTAGCACGCATAGTTTAGAAAGTCAAGGACTCCTTGTGGTATTTTCATGTAACAACTGATTTCCCGACAAGTATCAGATAGTTAGCCACAGCAGATTCGTTCAAGAAATAAGGAGATTAACTTATGATCTGATAATTTAAGTGGGGTTTCCTTATTGTGTGTGAAATAACTAGACTGGGCAAATTTAGCAAAAATTAACACAATCATTAATACAGGATAGACAAAGAGACAATGCAGCATACCTACTTGCGCAGACAGAAACACAGTCGAATCTCTGCTAGGTTGTGCTTAGTTTCATAACTTTCACTCTCTCGGGATTGAACTCTGGAGAACTAAAACATGTTGAATTTCATGTACAATTTTCGTTCGATGATCTCCTCTATTAGAACTGGGCCAAGAAGGCGCGCCTGAATTGAACAGGTAAACTCGGTTTCTTTGTCCAATGGCCTTTGTTTTATCATAGCATTGGTCAGCTGTAACATTCAGACAACGTCAACCGAGCCTGCGGAGGATATTATAGTCACTAATCCCTTCAACACATATACTATATGTTACTGCAATGTCTTCTCGGGCAGAATAGACATTATCTACAATAGAGAACAAGACTATCTCAACAACTTTCTGAAGTACGTGTTTATGCTAAAACTGCATACAAACTAAATAAACCATTTTTTTACTATTTTGAGAGCGATATATATGTGTTTGTCTGTTGCTGAACTAAATATTCTGTAAAAGTTTGCTTACACTAATGAAAGCAATATTCTCCTGTCAATAAATGGTGTATCAAAATATTTTTGGAAATTGCCTCCAAAAGGTGCTGCAAAGTGAAAATTTTAATAAAGTCAATAGTGATGGAAGAGAGTCTGTTCCAACTTAAGCACACAGAGTATCATAATCTTAGAGAAGTAAAATAATTTTTCTTAAATTATGTTAATTTAGCTATAATTTATAACATACTGTAGGTTTTGAAGAGTTTTTACTGCACGTAATATATTTATAACACTAAGTACGAGTTGTATGTTTTACTTAGCTTTCGTGTTTTGAAGGTTATCATACTTCTGATGGCTAAAACTATTTAACACAAATGCTTCAGAAAAAAAAAGGAACAGAATAAAAAATCAATCATATAAGAAAATGGTGAATTTTGGAGAGAACAGCAAACAAAAAAAAAATGAAATAATGTGTTCACAAAGTTTGTGTTCTCCATGATTTTCTTCCTACTTCTCTCTACGATACTACACTGTACCCTCACACTGCTGCTATTATATTGTTACGACAGCGGAATTCACGTGACGCTGGTAACACGTAATGAGTATCTAGAACGTTCGTGAAGGCTCGAGTGTTTGCCAGCCGCCCTTTATTTTGTATATATATGACTGGCAAGAAGTGACGAGAGAGAATAATTGAAGATAGAGAGATATAGAGACAGATAATTGAGTCAAGCCGTAAGTAAAGTGCGTGAATCGTAGTGAATTCTAGCGTGTGTTTAAGTTAAAGTGACTGTGGAAATTAAGTGTATTGCAAAGTTGTATTGAGAAATAATAAACTAGTTTTATTTAAAAAAGGACTTGTATCGCTGAAGTTTTTCGGAAGGAATTTTTACGGGAAATTAACAAACGACCAGAGACGTAACAATACTCTGTGATTATGTAAAACTTCTCTCTACGACACTACGCTGTACCCTCACACTGCTGCTTGTATAATCTGTGATGATGTAAAACGTTAAAGGCATGTGCAAACAATGTTCTCCTGCTAAATAGCTGGAAGATCGACTTTGTTTACTTCCTGCGCTTGGGCAGACAGGAACTTGTGGTCGGTCGTGATAATATAACAATATAAAATCATGGTTGTGAAAGTACATGGATAGTCCATTCATAACAGAGAGACATTGTTCAATAAACTGCTTGTATATAAATTGTTTTTTAATATAACGATAGATAGTATACTCTGGAACATACTTGCCATGAAATGTAAACTTACATTTCTGAACACGATCTTACACCATCATGTTTCAGATTTCTATCCTGTTTCGTGCGTGTCAATCTTTGCTTGAATTATTTAACCACACAATATTCGATTATCAACCAACCTGATAATTCTCGCTTTAGTGGAGAATTATGGTGTCATTATCAGTTAATGTTTTGCTTATCGTCTGTTTGTGAATCTTTCTTTGTATCTGAAGTTGTTTAATCTTAATTGATAAAGCCTCTAGTTTTTTTTATCTGACAGGTCGACTGAAACAGTCGCATGAAACAAATTTAAATTTTCTAAGTCAGTAATTCTCGAGCTTTTGGCCCTCAGTAGCTCAGCGGTAAGTCTGAAGGCATATAACGCTAAAAACCGGGTTTCGGTACCCGTGGTGTGCATAGCACAGATAACTAATTTTGTGACTATATGTTTAACAACAAACTCGAGTTTCTTTGTTTGCGAACCACCTGCATTTGTTTTTTTTTTTAATCATACGAACCACAATGAGATCTATTTACTGTGCTGTTGCTCCCTTTCCATAATTATACAACCTTTCCTTGGACCACCTGATAATCTGAAAAGAATGAAAATGTTGCTATAACTTGTCGATGGATGTTTCTATAACGATGACGGAGCTTCGAACCCGCAGATTGCGATTCGAGCGCCATCCAGGCCGTTCACAAAGCGAGATCAGTTGTTTTACAGCACGAGTCAACAGTAGTTAACTACAATTGCTGAGATTCACCTGTAATGGAATAAAAGAGTCAGAAGTAGCGCGGTAATTAACATTCCTTTGATGAAGGGTTTGATACTTTCTTCCGTTTGGAATGGGTCTGAGAAACAGCTACGAGAAACGATACGACCTAGTGATTAGCGTACAAAGAAAGAGAGATACTTGACTACATCACATCCAAAAGCCTTTGAAAACAAGCGGGTCACAGAGAGTGCTCATAGGACATGTGCTAACCCTAACCAGAACAAGAACCAAAGAACTTAGTGGGTAGGTAGGTTAATTTCCAATTTTGAAGCTAAACAAAGCCAGGGAAGAAGATCCTAGGCTAAATAAAGAAGTTATAAAAAAGTACTTCTAACCTAACTAGAAATAATTGGAAAGAGGAAATCAGTAACAAAACAACAACAACTAATTAATTAATTTTTGAAAGATCAAAACTAGAAAATACAAACAAAATATCCTAATGTTAATGACATCTTCACTCTCCTACTTAAGCCTATATTGTTATTTCATCGAACATAACATTTGTAAATCCACCTAACTCCTAAAACGTAGATTCTAAATCGTTGAACAAAGTTACATAAACCCTTAATCTGATCAAAACTTGGATCTTCACAAGTAACTATTCGATCACAAGGAAGAAGTATGCCCGTATTATTAACGACAGACTTTACAGTAGGAGAATTCGTACTGTCATATATATTGTCGCCTAAATCAGCTTCCTATGGCTTTACTTACAGAAAAAGGCTTACTCAGCTCTCCAGATAAATTTCTCACTCGGTGTTTATTCACATTCAGTGGAGGGTGGGGGTGCATTCTCTCCAATATATAAAGCTAAGTTTGTGTCTTTCAGTCATCTGTTCCTAATACGTTTCCACATTTCTTGATCAATCATCGTAATACACGATGACATGAGGAAGATCATGATGGGGTTGGACCCCCACCTGATTGTATATGGATAGAATTCTTAAAAACAGTATGTCTTTCTTTTCAGCATTGGAACCTCTTTGTGTTTTTATTGTACTTTTAATGTTTATTACGTTAATATAGAAGCATAATTTCTTATCCTTTGTTATAACGAATTTATGTTTTATCCATCCAACGAGCGAGTGCTCCATCTAGTTGTGGTATAAAGGAATATAAATCATATTAGATAATAAAACCCATGTTAAAACTAGGCGAGAATTATCGTTCGAACAGTGTCAGCTCTTGTCTGTTAATGATTTAATTTCTGTTTAAATGACAATAACTTATTTTAATATCTAAAGAGGCACGCAGCATTATTACATATAAGAAAACAAGAATGTCGATAAAAATTCACTCCTGAAATTTCATCTTCCAAAATCTCTAAGGCTATCAAGTTTCTTATTATGTGATTTTTGTCTATCTAAATGATCCCTTAGTATCACAAAAACATTTTAAATATATTTTTATGGAAATATATACCTGGTATCATAATCTTTAACATTCATTCTTTTTTTTTATAGACTGTATTGTGGACAGTTGTTGATATTGTTATCTAGTTCGTCAAACTGTTAATTTGCTTGGTATCTCTTCCCCCCCCCCTTTTCATTCATCATTCCGAGGTTTTTAAAACACAGTATTTCAATAATAAAATTATGAATTTTATTTTCATATTTTAATTACAGTTAAACATCTTTATCTCCTATGTTCAAGAAATCTTGTCTCAAGGCGCTTTTTTGTTTACATATTCTATAAATAAAATTTTAATAACAATCGTTTTGTTGTGAACAATCGTTATGTTGTGAACAATCGTTTTGTTGTGAACAATCGTTTTGTTGTGAACAATCGTTATGTTGTGAACAATCGTTATGTTGTGAACAATCGTTATGTTGTGAACAATCGTTATGTTGTGAACAATCGTTTTGTTGTGAACAATCGTTATGTTGTGAACAATCGTTTTGTTGCCTTTTATAAGCATGATTATTATGAAGTATACTTGTCATAAAATATTAATATTAGGCCTATTGTATCTTTAACACTTCGTTTTTTTATCTAGTCCCCTAATTATTTCAAGAATTAGAGAATGTAATATAATAATTTTCCAACCACATTATCTTCGCCATATATCTCAGTCATTATGAGGTTAAATTAATTTGGATATCTTTCTAAATATAGTATTAAACTCAATGTATAAAAAGTATAATTCAAGTCTAATTACTCCGTAAATTATGAAACTTGTAAATAATTAAGGCAGTATAATAGCTTCTGAACGAATTGATTTAAATTTGGTTGTTTTTCTCAGGGTGCAGGTCTTTTGGGTCTTTACGGATGTGCATTACTTCATGAAACTGGTTACTCTCGCGTCTACTGCCAGGATGTTAATACAGAAAGATTGAGGTTCGTACCAAAGTTCAACGGTATTCCTTCAGATATCTACAGTACATTCTCTGGTAAGGATGGGTTCTCTGCCAGTTCTGCTTAGCATATTTAAAATTTTATGATTTCCTATGTATACTGAAACTACTTCCGTTAATAAAGATGAAGAC